TTCACAAGTAATTTTTCACTGCTGACTTCAAATCGCTATTTCCCATGTAGATTAACCTTATTGAATAGATGCTGCTGGGGATCTGCTAGCCAAACACATCTTACCAGAAAAACTGTATTCACAGAATTTGATTTCCCATGCTCAACTTCCAACTCCCATTGCCCCTTACTGGATACCGTAGAAGAACCATGGTTCTCTGGATTTAAGTTTGTTTTTGAAAGAAAGTGGCCTCCCTCCCATATTTGAATGTAGTGACATTCCGCTTAAGCCTCCCTGACTCTCAGTAACCACAGGAATGGAATCTTTTATGGCGATTACATCCCAGCTGAGTTAGTTCTAGTGATGTTCAGCTGGTACAGAGTTGTCAAACTATTAGGATACCTGACCAACCTCTCAATGATAGAGAGTAATTGTTTTGTCTCACAGGACAACCTTTTCTGGGTGCCAAATTAAAAGCTCTCACGTTTGCCTCAATACTTGCTTAAAGTCAGGAATCCCATCTAGAATACCTAAATCTCTCTTCTGGACCTTCCTTTGTTCCCCCATCCATGTCTGAAATTAGGTAGAAGGAAAGCCTACTTTGTGAAAAGGGTATTCAAATGAAAAGATCATTCCTAATTTCTAGAGCAACCTAGACTACGTCATATCTCTTAAACATTATTGACAGGTATTTGGGGTTCCTTTTTTTTTTTTTTTTTTGAGACGGAGTCTTGTTCTATGGGTCACTGTTATGCACTTTCTATTAAGAAATTTTGGGTTTCACTATGTAAATTCAAGGTTCCTCTTCTAGATCTCATCTCCCATGACAGTTGAGGAAAAGCCTAGTTTTTGAAGAGAGTATGGGTGGGGGCGGGGGGCCGGGCTTGGTGGCTCACACCTGTAATCCCAGCACTTTGGAAGGCCGAGGCGGGCAGATCACCAAGTCAGGAGATCGAGACCAGCCTGGCCAGCATGGTGAAACCCCGTCTCTACTAAAAATACAAAAACTAGCTGGGCATGGTGGTGCACACCTGTAATCCCAGGTACTCGGGAGGCTGAGGTAGGATAATCGCTTGATCCCGGGAGGTGGAGGTTGCAGCAAGCCGAGATTGCCCCACTGCACTCCAGTATGGGCGCTCGTCTCAAAAAAAAAAAAAAAAAAAAGACTGACTTTCCCCCTTTCCCCTCGTGCCCCACTGGACAAGTACCTACTTTTTCTTATTCTAAAAAAATTTTGAAGATGACATGTTGGAGTAAAGGTAAGTTTGGTTGCTTGATACAGAATTTGCTCTGGATGGTTAACATATTTTCTAAGAAACCTATGTTCTGTTGATCAGGTCACCTTTGAAAGAAGTAACCCTGAAAGGGGTGAAAGGTGGCTATAAATATTTTTAAGTCCTGTATATAGTTTCATTTGACAGAATCATTGTAAAGATTTCAACATTTTTGTATTTAGAAAATCGATAAAAATTGAAGTGTGTATATGTAAGAGCTTGTAAAGAAACAGCAACATTAGAGGGCCCTTGTGGGATAGATGCTTTAAAGGGCTCTGATGCTGGAGCTGCTCCTTGTCTCACTTGCCTTTAAGTGGAGTTCAATTGTAAGAAAAAGCATTTCTTCCCTCCATAGTTGTTGACTGGGAAAAGGGAGGTTAGAGCTTACAGTACTAACAGCTGGCCAGAGTTTTTTCTTTTTCAGAGTTCCTTTTGTGGAAGCACCAGTCAAAACAAATATTCTCGGCACCATTCTCGCATTGCAATCATCTTTCTGAATGACTGTTGGCCTATTAGAATATGAACTTTCCGAGGACTAGGACCCAGACTGAATCCTCCCCCATATCCTCAGAGCCTAGAACAGTGCCTGGAATTTGGAGATATTTGTCATTGATCCACAGATTAGAAATGTCTACTACAAGTGTATTCCCGATTTCTCAGCTTCATAATGTACCTGGGACAATCTGTTATTCCCTCAGGCTCTCATCTGGCCTCACAAGGAAACTGCATTGGATAATTCACTGGAGGCTTTTCCAATTCAAAATGGTTGATGAGCCATAGTAGGAGCTCAATAAATATTTGTTGATTAGAGGAATTGATGAACCAATAAAACCCTATTAATAAGATTTTTTTTTTAGGTGAATGGCATAGATGTTGTTCAGATTTACTTTGAAAGGATCAAGTATGTGAATGGATGAATGGAATTGTGAAGCACAGATGAGCTCTTTCGCACTCCAAGGACACAGCTCATCCTATGCTTTTGGACACTTCTTCCCTGTTTATTACAATGACTATTCTCCAGGTCGTTGCACTACCGCTGTATCTGTACAGAATTCTAACTTGGCACCTGTGGCCTTTTTTGTGCTTTTATGATTATGTGTCTGTATTTCCCACCAGATTATATGCCCTTGAATCCAAGGAACTTGTTTCCTTAGTCTTTTTTATATATCTAGCATATAAGATATTGCTTAGAATATGGTAGACATCACTGAAGATTTGTTTAAATAGTTCATATTTTGTAATGATACTGAATGGTTAAACAATCCCTTTCTAATCTGTCTAGCATATATGTGACTTTTGTTTATCAAGTGTCACACAACTGCTTCAAGGTAGCTGTGAGATACTAGAAAGCAAAAATTCTTACTCCTATGTCTGTGTCATCCCAGACATGTGCCTCCAGATGGCAGTATTCTACACCATCTATAAAATACATTTGCAAAGCCAGGCACAGTGTTAAGCATCTGCCTCAGGAGGCTGAGGCAGAAGAATAGCTTGAGCCCAGGAGCTTTAGTCTAGCCTGAGCAATATAATGAGACTCCGTCTCTTAAAATATTTGCCCAAACATTGAACCTAAATTTGAGCACGCCCCTAGAAATAATTCCTAATCTTTAGAAAATAGGGCAGAGAAACATTATTTTACACCATGGAGATGAGATCAGCAGAATCCAGACTATAAGAAATTACAGGACACATGACTCAGTTTCTTCTGTAAATAACTTGCAAGGATGAAAGAGATGGAGGATGAACCTATAGATTTAAAGAGACTTAAGAGACATATTAGCCAATTATATGGATCTTATTTGAATTCTGATTTGACCGAACTGTAAAACAAATACATTTATGAGACAATCGGGGTAATTTGAACATTGGTGGGGTATTTGGTATTAGGATAATGGTTTTATCATTATGTTAGAAAGAAGGGTCCTCATCTACATTCTCAAACATTTGTGGCTGATATGATATGATTCTTGGAATTTGCTTCAAAATCGTAAATCTGGATGTTAAATGCATTGCAAAGATTGATGAAACGAAATTGGCCTTGATAATTGTTGAAGCTGGGTGATGGCTAAAATGAGGTTCATTATATATGTTCATCTCTATTTTTGTATGTTTGGCATTTTCTGTAATAAAGTTTATAAAAGTAATTACTGGAGTTCTTCTTATTAAGCCTAATATATAAGGTAGAAAAAAAGGAAAACATTTAGATTGTTTAAAAAAGGTTGGCTGTGGCATACTGCTTCTGGCCCAAGAGGTCAAATGCCCAAAAAGAGAAGGGAGAAATACCCTGGAGTGGCTAGCAGTTCCCTTGCTGTAGACCAATGTTAGCAGTTTTTTCTTTTAATTTGGCCCATTGAAATAGGAAAAGCTAAATTCTTATTTATTCATACTGGAAAGTAAGAATGGATTCTTATATGCTGGTGAGCAGGGGTTTTGATAACACCTACATACCAGTTCATACAAATGTGAAAAATCAAAGAGGTGGAGTCTCCAAGGAGAAAGTTTATGGAATTTTATAAAAACCTATATAAGCCACTTTTTAAATGGTTTTTAGGGAAACAATAGCTGTAGACCTGTTAGTTGCACATAATTAAGTTTAAAGTTGTATTTGAAGGTACGTAAAACAGGAAATTAAACAGTTAACATTCCTGACTTCAGTGAACCATTTTGCATTTCACAGATTGCAGATACTCCTTCAGTTCTGGACTGTGCTTAAAATTCTGTAAAGGCCAAAATTCTGTAAAGGCCATGCTTACATCAACAAATGTGGAGTCTGCCCCTGATGTTTCTGTGAGTCAAGAAGGAACAGGCAGAAAGTGAGAAGAGTATAAGAGGTCCCTCCTAGGGGAGATGAATTCCTTCCTAAGTGTGAAGTACTGAAGCGGAAGCTGCCCCTTCTACTTCTGTTCTTTAAGTGTGTTCTAA